ATTTGTAACACAATTTTGTTTCAAAGATACAGATTAAAACGGTGTTTATCGAGATATTAAAATATCTAATCTGAGAATATCACATAACTCCCCTTAAAGAAATTGCATAATTGCTAATGATGTTTACAAGACGAAAAAAGTTGATGAATATTAAACCTAAAAAAAAAAAAAAAAAAAAAAAAAAAAAAAAAAAATTGAGTACTCATAGCTTACGGAATATTCCCTGGATATTTTTAAAGGCAGAAATGCATGTGCCTATGGCCAGCAGTTTGAAGATCCATTAGTGTTTTTTTCTTCTAGGATGCTTTAAAATACATTTTCCTAGAATTAGCACTGGAGAATCACGCATTAGGTATATTTTGACTTGTAAGGAATTTTCTCTTCCTTCACCACGACGACAACACAAAAATCATGATTCCGAAATAAACCTAATGACTATGCAACTATGTAGTTCTGAAAGTTAAAAATATCTCGGATGCCTAAAATCTTACATTAAAGAATAGGTTTTATTTTATTTACTATATACTGTATCATGATTAATATTTTCCATGCAGATACCGTACAATCAGCTATGTCAGCGAGAAGTTGAAGGGCGAAGGAAGGTCTATAATGGCATAAACTTAGAATTCGAAAAACAAAGTCAACTTTAGAGTGCCGCTAAAAACAGCCAAAAATGAATGATGCGTCTATAAAATTTTAAAATTATGTTTGTTCAAAATCGAAAGTTGAGGAGAAAAAATTTCTAGCCTTAAGTCCCTAAGACTTCCAAGAGGTCTATGTAAGTGGTATGTTCTTGATTAGAATTCTAAAATGACACTCCAATTAAGTCCTTTGACTCCTTTTCTCTCGAAATATGCACTATTTTATTGTTTGGGTTCATTTCGAGATGCATGCGTGTGAACTTAAATGCGTCACGACAAATATTTTTGAACGTATAGTGTTTTTAATGTATAGTGTTTGGTCAGGAGGTTCTAAGTTTTTGTAAACCTATATAACATACAGTAGAGATAGAGCAGGAAGAGTAGAGATAAGGATGTATGGGGGCTTCAGACACGGACTATAGAAAAAGGGAACTACCAATCTACAAACCATCAGAAGTTTTTACAGGTTGTACCTAATGAAATTTATCCGAGTGCGTTATCTCCTCCTTTCTCTGTATTACTTAATTTCATTGCAGTTAAGATCACTGTTGCGAAGCCGGAAGCAACTTCACGTGTCCGTCGCATTCCCATTTCGACATCGGACAGTCAGTCCTTCGCTAACTCCCGCACCATTCCTCGGAAGATGCAAACTCGTTCTTTTGACTACTACATCCTGCTCCTGGTGACGCAGTATTGCTGAAATTTCACAGAAAAGCGAGGGGCGAAACCGAGTTCCTGAGGGGGCAAGGTCAATTGTTTGAAGACTTGACCCTCGGCAGTCAGCCGTGGCTTTAAACGTTAATCGTCTGATAACAACACTTCTATCGAAGCCTGTTTTGTCACGTATGCGGAAATAAGGAGCAACTGCGTGACGTAATACTTTCTTTTGCTGCCAAGCCGTCTGAGGGTCAACGAGACGCATTAAATATGGACTTTATTTTCCATTGTCCGCAGATAAAAGAGATAATGTTGCCGAGATTTAGTTGTTTTGAGTCAAGACGATACCGACAATCAAACATCTTCAGACCTTGTTTGTAGTTGTAGCGCCTTTCCAGTGGCATCAAATTATTTCCCATCCTTATCAGAATGTTGTTATGATAATGAAAAGTTTACACCTACTAATTCATAACGTATATCACTATAATTAAACCTTCGAACTCCAATTACTTTGCATATTTCTTTTCTCCCCAAAGAAATGTGCCTCATCTCATATGGGAATTTTTTTTTTTTTTTTTTTTTATATTATAGTTATTCACAAAGCCTTTACTAACAATATAATACTAATTTATAATTCTACAAATTATCTTGATATTAAATTGATCTAGTTTTTATTTTTAAATTCAATTTAAATACCTTTACATAGAATTTTATTTTCATTAAATTATTACTTTAAAAATTAATTTTTAAATTCTAATTTCAACTAAATTATTTTAGGACTTTCTTCATAAATTTTTATTTAAATACGGAAACAGAATTTTTTTATATATTTTTTAACATGCTTTTCTCACTAAAATTTTCATTCATTCATTAGTTTTTATAAAAGAAATTATCATATGCCTCAGAAATGGATAATTCCATTTCAAGAGAATAGTCGTTATCTTGTCCTCTTTCCTATGCTAAAATTTCTAAAACAAAGATGAGAAAAAAAAAAAAAAAAAAAAGGGGGGCTCGGAACTTAACGCCATTTTTTTCCAACCTAAAATTGTTAATTTGCGTAGGGATTTTGTTAACCATTAGGATGATAGCGAGTGGTATATGGCGAGTCGAAAGGCATTTGCAACAACAACAGACAAAAGCCATGAGTGTTCTAAGAATAAGATTGATGGATGACTTCCGTCTCTAGTTTAAACTAAAAAAATAAGTGCATTCAAATAAGAATTTCTTTACAAAATAAATAAAAAAAAAAAAAAAAAAAAAAAAAAAAAACCCTGTTTTCCGAAGGAAGGAAACGTGTCGCAAAAGATTAGCATGAAATTTTAAGACATGAAATTTTTTCAAGTTAAAACGTTCTTTGCGAGAAAAATTCAACATTGTCCATTGTCGGCATAGAAACATATTATTTCTTAAGAGAGAAAGGTCTCTTAAACGAGGTTTACCGCAACACATTACCTAATATCAGTTCTAATTAAGTAGACTTTAAAATATCGCTAAAGACTGCAAGTGTGTCATGAACTGTGTACTACAGTAGGTATATGAAAATAATATCTGTTTAACTTCCTCAAAAGCAAAACTTCCCTCCCCCTTTTTTTCTTAATAGGGTGGATAAAATAGACAAGCGCTGCATGGCATACAAATATTGTAGTCCATCATCCTTTTTTTAAATTTTACCAAAATTAATGCTATATTGAGTTTGAATTTTACGGATTATAAATGACATCCGTTAATGAAAGATTATACGCTTATATTTATTCACTCATTCTGGAAACTTGTGGCCTAAGTATAATTTTTTTCTAACCAATGGCAGGCCCCTTAGCCGATTTCGGCTTTGCCACTACTAACTGCCAGAAGTGACTGGTCATTTTACTAGGAAGGCACCTTTGCCTCCTGTGAAGGGACGGACAGTTACAACCATGCCTTCTCCGCGATTCGAACTCGGAAACCTTTGGGATCACAGTCCGCTCCCCTAATCACTATATCGTCTGGGCGGCGCTTTAAGTTTAATAACAACAAAAAATTTCATTAACATACTTTATGCGATAATGAGCTGTAGATCTGAACAAATGCTGTTTATTTTCAAAACAATAATAATAATAATAAAAATAAAAACTTGATACAACAATAAAAAATTTAAATTTGCCATTCTCTTGGAATTCTCAGTCATTCAAAGGTAAAAAGTGATTGCAGGTGTTATACAATCAATCGCCAATAGCAGTGTTATACAATCAATTGCCAATAGCAACAGCTGCCAAATGACAACTAAGTCTGACTTGGATGCAAAGAAGAACACGCAAGCTGCTTTTCCCCTCTCCTAACATTCACGCTTCTGAGAGGCAATCCTTCATCCCTGAGAACAGAAGTGACCTTTTCTTCAAATTCATCGAATTTTACAGGATCAAGGACTGCGAGTATAACTTTTTTAAACCACCTTATTCATCACTTTCAAGTGAACAATACACTGCCATTGAAGCGGACAGTAAAAAAAGAAAAGTTCCAGGAGAAAAATGGAGGGAGAGGAAGCCCACTCGTAGTGTTTACATTCATTCTTCTTCCTTTCACTCCAGTAGAGTATCCGATAAAAGAGTCGTAGGAGAGAATTTCTTCGGATCTCTCAGTCGGTTTCCGGACTAAAAGGGTTCATAAAGCAAGATCGAAAGAAGACCTTCGGGCACCATCTGGTGGTAACCGTCGTTTCTCGAAGAACTGGCTTATTCTAAAGGAATCCCTCCTTGAACTCTCACTGTCCAGCAGTAAACGAATGAGTAAGAAGGACTTTTTTTTTAATATAGTAGAGAATTATAAAAAGGTCTTGCTAATTTTTTTCCCTTCCCAACTTCCGCCGTATAAATCAAATGACGCTGTTTTAAAATTATTCACGCAGTCGCTATAGTTCAATAACAAAAAAGTTGTTATTGAATGTTGGCATCATTTGTCTCTATATTTTAATGGAAGAAATTTGACTGGTATTATTTATCAACAGAATCTCATTTCATTACTTACTAAACAGATTTTTACTTACATTTTTTTTTCTTGAATATATATACTGTAGGCTAATAATAAAGCATTTGTTACTGAACTAAACCCTTCATGTGCACTTTTTTGGGCGGGATAATAATACAAATTGTTCCCTTCCCCATTCGTGGAAATCTTCATAATAATATATTTTCGTAAAGCACACACACGGGGATAAAAAATAAAATACTTAAACAGAAATATTAATTTTATTTTAAAATTGTGCCAAAAAAAAGGGGGGAATAGAAAGACAGAAACCATCAAAAATTAAAAGGAAAAAGATAAAACATTTCCCAAGATAATAATATATTATACATATATATATATCTTTTAAGCTTTAAAGTATTATAATTTGGCACGTTGAAGATTTCTCTAGACTGTGAAGTAACATCTGATTTATTCAACACGTAAATATTACTTAAATTATTTCGTTATAATATTAAGTTACAAACGACACCTGATTTTTTTTTTTTTTTTTTTTTTGTATTTTCTTTTCATTGTTTACATTTTAAATTTTTGTAATTTTATGTCTTGCTATTTAGTTATACATTTTGCTATTTACCCTTTGATCCTAATGACATAAAATACAATTATGACGAATTACAGGATAATTTTTCGGGCTTATTGATTATTTATCTTTATGCCACATCACGTATAATGGAGTTTGATTGTCATTTCTTCTCTCTGTAGAACAGTGAATCAGATCTTCCAGAATGCCCACCTATGGTTGTATGCAACAGGGTGGATACATACTCCACTCCTTGGATAGAAAGGCAGTGCCGCTGCCCTGGAAAGAAAATCTGTTCCATGTCTATGGATCCTCGAGACGGTTTCACCGTCATGGACAAATCGAGGCAACTAAAGGTGAGCTCTTTTCCTCTCTAAAACACTATCTTATTTCATACATTTTTTTGAGCTATAGAACCTTTTTTAAAACGTTCATTTTCTATAATGCGAATATATATATATATATGTGTGTGTGTGTGTGTGTGGATATGTGAATAAACACAAAGTAAAAAACAGTTAAAATCTAACTCAACTGTGCGCTGATAGCAGCAACAAGTGGTGGTAATAACGCAAAATAAAAAATAAATAAATATATAAATAAAAGATTTTTTTCATTATTATTTTGTATTAACTACATAATTTGATATTTTAGAGGTTCGCAGTCGCCGCATGTTGAGAGAGAATTTAGCAGAGAGCTGACACCAATCACTTTTTCAATCATGGCCGAGAAAAGCTGTTGAATAGATACGACTGGAGCAAAAATCAACTGGCTTGAAGTTTAAAACATTGTTTATATTTAGAAAAGGAACAATTATTTAGAAATGCATTTTAGCTTTAATTTATACACATTAGAGATGCCACAGTTTCTTCAAACGCAGCTTACATTTAGATAATAGAGAAAGAATCTTGGCGAAGAGACGTGACGTTCCCAAAAAGTGATGCGTACAAACTGCATTCGTATTTACAAGCTCAGAAAGTCTTTGCTTCAATCCTGAACAGCAACTGGACAATGTCTTTGGCATCACAGAGAAATTACAGGTAAAGTGGAAGATAATATGCTGCAGAGTGACACAAAATGGTGCATGGTGTATTCTTGAAGAGGGGATGTGTTTATAAAAAATTATGAATTTAAAGGTCTTTGCCAATTGGTTCCAATTAAGTTTGATTACTTTGTTAGTAATTTTGTTTCATATTTTATATTTTACATATGTATAGTTAATTTCGCATTATCTGTTACTGTTACACGATCTGTTATTGTTAATCTGACAATCATGCAAACATATACATATATAAATCTACTCATTCAAAATAGAGTATAAATCCACATTTAGTAGATAATGAAATAGGTTTTGCTTAAAATTGCTTTCAACAGATTTCTCCTTGCATTGAAAGATGCCTCCTTCAGTTTAAGATTGCAATTTATTTTTGTCAATCGATCCTAATCACGGTGAAAGTGTACGAAATTACGGTATTATTTTCTGTAGATATTAAATTAGTATTTACCATAAATAATTTTTGAAATTTATAAGTTACGGTACTAATATTTGCCATTCAGTACTTACAGTAACAAATATCAAATATACAAATGCATATTCGACGTTTAAGCCCTTATCACACTAAAATACAAGAGCAATATGCAGTAGAGTTAACATTATAAGGCAACCTGATTCACAACTGAAAAGATTACGAAAACTAGAAGAGTTGGTGAAATGCTGACAGCTGATTCTTTGATATATAAACAACTTGTAATCTTTCTTTCACTAAGGGCTGTATTATATGGAATGGTTGCTTGCTGTAACTAGACCGCTTCATAATGATGCCAGTACTTTTACGCAGGCCGCCACTGCTCGAATAGGCGAACCTTTCTTTACAAAAGAGGCCTGGCAACTAAGTCCTCGCACCTTTATGCTAGTAGGATTTTAGCAGGGCTCCGCATAAATGTGCCCGCATCGCTATGAAAGTTACTTTTTACAAGTCAGAAACTTCCTTCAAAAGGATGCAGTCACTTTTACGTGGGTCATCCTTACGAAAATTTCTGTTTTTTTTTTTTTTTTTCCGAACAGTGGACGACTTGCATAAAGGTGCCAGCACCTTTATGACGCAGCCCGCTATGAACGCGGACTGTGTTTAATTGCCTTGAATTAAAAATCAGTTTTGCGCGGAAAGAATTTAAAAGAACACACATTTTGGAATAAAATACTGCAGATGGGATAAAGAAACGGACACAGATGGGATAATAAAAAAAGAACCAGACATTCAAAATATATTGAAGTAATTCTTATTTATTATGATTACAGCTGACAGAAATGGATTATAATCAATTTGCGATGCATAACATGACGTATTTTCTAATATCAATTCATTCTTTTCCTTTCCAGCTATGCGAGCCAGTAAGCAGACTGCCGACTTGTGGCTATTTCCGGGACATAGCCTGGACTCACGCTATTTATCCAGACAACACGACAAAACAGACAGTACATTGCATGTGCCCCAAGAACAGTGTAGCATATATATTAAGACATGAAGTATACAACACACAAGACGGCATGACTGTCATATACTTCATGGCTTGTTCTCCACTGAGTGTAAGTTTACTTTTTTTTTTTTAAACATTCAAGGTACCAAAATTTTCAAATAGTTCTGATTTTTTTTAACTTCGTTAATTATTTATTTCTAGACTAAGAAAGAACCGCCGATAAGAAATAGTATTTTAAGTTAAGGATAAATAATAAACTACCATATTTCATCTAGCAAATTAGGATGCATGATTTGGCAACATGACAGTTGAGTACAACAATATTACAAAGATGCGGGTATTATATTTAAACGTGACTAATTTCAACAACCAGTTTACTTAAGTCAACAGTTTATAAAAATAAAATTAATAGATAAGCACGAAATATTCTGTAGAGAAGCGGTTTGATTATTAATTATCTGACATTTCATGATACGTACAATATTAAAGCAAATACTTCTCTTGAAAACTTTTTGCTTTATTATAATTTTGCATCATAAATTATTGGTAAAGATTTTAAAAGCGTATATGCATAAAATGAAAAATAAACTAGCCAAATAGAATTAAAAATCATTAAAGAGCCCTTTAATGTTAAAAACATAGTTCATTAATTATAATAATACTGCAAAATTCATTAAGATTATCAATTGCGTATATTATTAATTAAATGCGGTTTAAATTATATCAGTTGGATAGACTATTAAAAACTAATCAAAGATTTTAGTTGGAAAGAGAATTTATTTCTTTCAAATTTTTATTGCAGTTGGTTAAAATCTACGTAGAAATCTGAAATATAAATTACACATCTTATGTCACGCCGAATGACAGTAGAAATTAGTTAAGTGGCACAATGGATAGAAGATAAAAGATCTTATGTTTCTAACAATGGCAGCACTTGTCTGATGCGTGGAAGATAAATAGCATGTTAGCGTAAAGTAACCAAAAATTTGTTCAGAAAATTGGAAGGACTCCGTTAAAGATGTTTCTAACACGAAAAAACTAAAATTCCTCCTATGAGTTCTGTGGTAGAACATTACGAAGATTAAGTATTGAACAAAATATAGATTAATGGTTTAGAGTTTATAGACAACAAATATGTTAAAATTAGTTCTATGTGGGATATAATATCTTGGCCACCCTGTCAAGTACGATGCACTGTAATTTATTTAGTATTCGAATGTATACAATTTTGTAAGGTGTTGACATAACACCCGAGTTAAAAATGTTTAAACCTATGGCTATTTCCTTAAACTGTATTTTATCAACTTCTGTAAATATTCTTGTGCATAGTTGAGTTTATAGACAACAAATATGTTAAAATTAGTTCTATGTGGGATATAATATCTTGGCCACCCTGTCAAGTACGATGCACTGTAATTTATTTAGTATTCGAATGTAATATTATTAACTACAGTGACAGTAATGCATAACTATTCCAAGGATAGATAATAAAAATTCTGAAGGGTTGGTCCAGAGTGTGACACAAAGTTTGTGTAATGTGACATCTCTCTCTCTCTCTCTTTTTTTTTTTTACTTCAATATGTATGTTGCTTGAACAAGTAACAAATAAAAGAATATTTTTTGCATAACAAATTTATGTTAAGGGCCATTTCTGTATTAGAAGTTGGAGGTTTTCTTGATTTTTGCCAGAAGGTTTGGCTAGGTTATAAGGCATTTCTCTCACCTTCTTGGCATGCCTTCGTGGTTTGGTGGTCTGCACGATGGGCGCGTATTCTAGATGTCTGTGGTTCGATTCCCGGCGAAGGCGTTGCATATTTTTCATCTTTCCTGCTTCATATTAACCTAATGTCTCTACGAGGTTATTTGAATATGGCAAACGGAACAAAAACTACCGGCCTAAAGTGAAGGATGCCCTTTATGCAGTTTTTCGTATAAAGGGCTTTCTACGGAAAACTAGCTTATTTTCACCTTACACATGGGGGGGGGGGGACATGAAAAATGGCCATGCAGAAAGCGCGTTCGCCTGGGTTCTAGCCCGAGTCAAACTAACACCATTCAATGGTCTTAACCTCTCGATCGCTGGTGGGGCCTGAGAGGAAAAAAAAAATAGTTATTACTATAATTATTAACATCCGCTAAAACCTAGATAAGCGTACTTTTTATGTAATGAATTAAATGATATATATCACAGCCATTAATTTAAATTCCAATTTAAACTAATTTGAAAATTTGCGACTAAACGGTTTCAAATAGGTTATCCCCACCCAAATAAATCTGTTAAGATATAATTTTAGAACCCATTTTGAGTTTCCTGTGGAAAAAGGATGCAAGAATAAGGTTTATATTTATAAACATGCAATATTATTGCATATTTGCTTTCTGTACATTAATATCATAAATTCTTTACATTAATACCATAAATTCTTTCTTGATCAAAGAGAAATAAATGATAGTATTTCGTAGCAAAAATACATTCATTTCATCTCTATTCCTTTTTTTTATATTGAATGTTAATACATAGTTCATACATAATGACTGACACACGGTATTGCGCATAGCAGACTAAATTTCTGTATAACAATGCTTATATTAATGCACACGTAACACGGATGCACAAACACATTTCCACTGTGGCAAACGCAAGACCAGTTTCACTACAAGAAGCACTGGAACTGGCGTCCTGCGGTCTACTTGCATCAGTCAGTCATTTACAGTGTAGTCTGAAGCTATTTTTTTAATAAATTTGAGTATATATATATATTTGGTTATAGATTGGTTATGACAAACATGATGTTCCTAAAAATATATTCTGCTTTTCGGTTCGGATTGGGTTGTAGTTTTATTTGAGTATGTTTTGACTATTAATGCGGAATACAATCTGAGAAAACGTTAACGTATTTATCGCGACTCATAAAAGTATTCTTTTTATTTGCTTACGTTATATTCAAGAAAATGTTTTCATAAATTTTACTAAAATATTAATTTTTAAAAATGTTATTTGCATAATTATACAAATAAAAATTCTCTGATATGTAGCGTCATTTTATTTGATTATATCAGTCTTGAACTGAGAAAAAAAACTTCAGAAACTACTGCATTAGATTAGAAATTAAAAATACTAAACTGAGAAGAGGGGAACCCCAGTTAAATAGAAAGTATAAGAATAGAAATACATGCAAAATAGAAAGAGCTATCACTTAGAGGAGTTATCAGGATGTCCCAGAAAGATAGTTTCAGAAAAATAAAATTAGAAATAGGTGAAACACTGAATGAAAGAAAAAAAAAATATCTTCTTTTTTCTTCATCCTTAATGAAAAAGAGGGGAAATCAGGGAAGAAGCAGAAAGAGAAACTTTCATTGTCGAGAAACGATTCCATAATTGAATCAAATAAAGAGAAAAGAACGGTTGGAACAAAAAAATCAAAAGCGAACAAGCGCTGGGAAGGCGCGATTTTTGTAATCCTAAACGGACCACTTAATCCTCCGCTTAAACTTTCGCATGCCTTGGCAGTTAAATATCTCCACGTCGAAAACAAAGGCCGGATACGGTCTTCGATTGTAAAATGAATGGGAGATGTATTTCTCAAACAAAACGGACACTGCACTTCCTCTCAGGCGGTCAGTTGTTTCTTTGGCAGCTCGAAGGGCGTCCCCCAAAATAAACAAAACGGAGGAAGCGCGAACAATTTCATGAGAATGCTTCGATAGATTACTGGAAAGAAGGGGGGTTGAGCTCTGCATCCCATTATAAGAAATCATTAAAAGATACAGGTCCGTGGATAATAAGACTTATTGGACCTATACTATTGTATACTTAAGAAGATAGAGAAATTTATGTTTAATTCAGAAATTTAGGAAACATCGTTTAATGCCAGTCCGATATGCAAGTTAATAAATTAACGAGATTATATTATTTTTTGCTCCAATCTTCAGCAATAAATCTATTTTTCATTCAGCAATAATGTTAAAATAGTTAGCTATTGTATAGAGGAAACAATTATACAGGCCCTGACAATCACAGTAAGTGAAGGGGATATTTCAATAAACGATACATCACAGTTCATTTTTTAATAGTTTCGTTTTAGGTAATAAATATACACATTATTTTTATATTAAACCCTAATAAAATGGAAACATTAGAAAGACATTTTTATTAGTGACTTTCGAATATTAATTACATTGCATAATTAAAGCCTTAAAAATTATAATTAAAATATAAATTGCAAAAATCAGTGCTCATGGCGGCCATTTTCAAACATCAAGAATGTGAGAACATAAGACTCAACAACTAGCACACTTAACGTAGTAAAATATTAGAGATGATAAATTCGAATACCACGTATCTTGAAAAATATGGGTGAGCTTGAATTTTCGCGCCTTTTCGTCATTCGAATTTTCATACTGATTTCTACAGAAGAGTTCATTAAAAAAAAAAGAATGAAAATGTTGCGACCACCAGTATCACCTTGTGGTGGCCCAGACTGGCATAATTTTCTGGAGACAGTTTGGAGTTATCATGTCTGTGCTCCATCTCTTGAAGTAATCAGCTTCTTTCTACACTTACTTTGACTTTGAAAAAATGCAAAATTTTGAATTGTTATTCAACAATTTTTATCAAATTATACTGAAACAATTTCGCTTAGTATGCGTAAATCAATAGAGTAATTAATCACTTTAAGCGAAGTTTTCATGCGCGACTGATATTCCGTTAACCCAAAGAAAGTTTAGAATTTCTGAATATTACGAATTGCAATACCTACACTAATTTTTCGACAAAAATTAATCCCAATTTCAAACGAATGCTCCACTTAAGAATTTTCCGTTTTTACAAATTACGAAAACGCAAAATCTACCTAGATAAACGGACGAAAAATCAGCGGACCAGAACTAAGCTCTTGATTTGAGAGGGCAGGGTTGACTACAGTTCCTCTTACAATTAATATGCATTATTTACGAACCCTCGAATTTACGGACCACAAAACACTATTTTCTTAAACAACAGACATATGTTTATTTATTACGAAGAAGACGTTCAGTCAGAAGTTTATTAGCAGTCTTTGTGCGTGTGTATTGAAGTGACAAACATATTAGCGACTATAATCCAAATGGTATAATCCTTACTTCTTACGAGTTTGCTTTAATGTGCATAAAATCATATGTACTGGATGCTGGCGTCTTGGAACTGGTTTTCGTTATTACATGGCATACAAAGCATTAATTCAGTAAACAGTTAATTGCAAATTCAAAGGAAAAGGGAAAACAAATTCTTTTTTTATCAAGGATTTTTATTTGATATATTTTGCATAGCCTCTTTGATACTGACTTTAAATCTGTTCCTATATTATTGGTTTAGAAAACATAAGTTGATGTATGAGCAAGTCGCAACAGCAAGGGGGGCCGTTACATGGGGTCCCCATATGATTAATTAATTTTCTAAAAATGTAAACATAGCCTCTTCACTTCCAGAGTGCAGCATATGACATAAAGTGCATAAACGATTAGAATGCCTTGAAATGAAAGTCAATGTCTTGAATATTAAGCTTTTTGTTATAAGTTTAATTTACTATTTTATTCTTAGAATGTTAAACGCGTGATTTTGGTCAACGCATTGCTCAGGGTTTAGAAACGTTCGCACAGTAAAAGCGCTTTAAATTTTTGGATATTAGGGCGACAGCAGGATATAATCTGCACTGATCTTTCAAATGTTTTAAGTTTTATGCTTCATTAGTGTATAAATAAAATTACCATTAGCAATACTGCACGTTGTCTTATTTTTTAATTGTAAAAGACAGGATTTCCTGTTTATAAATACAAAATAAAATTCAAATAATATGGGTAGGAATCAAAATATTTCGATAATAATCAGAATTTCTAAAAGTTTTTGCACGTTAGGTTTAATTAAAAAAGCCTTTGGGCATACAAAGACATTCAACAGTTCATGGCCACTGTCTCACGGGGAGGTCGCATTCTCCGTGCGAAGAAATTAAATTGAGAGGCCCCAAAAATTCAGGTGAGATAAGTCCGACGTGTCGTCTACCACCAAACACTAAAACAGAAACAATTTTTCACTATAATAAAGATTAGCGCATGAAGACACGAACATTTATCTGATTATATGGGTAAATTAAATGTATTGGTATTGTTTTGTGCGCAACATGTACTGCAAAAGAGTATTCCTTCACGCAGTTTTCTCTTTCTTTTTCTAGAAAATGCGTTGCCAGAGAAAGGAACCCTGCCGGCTTTTCACTGTGACGAAAAGGCCGGATGTCGAAGAGGTAAGCATGAACACTCTTTGCCAATGCCCCCATGGCCATCGCTGCCCGCAGCATCACACTGAACCATCGGTCACAGGAGGCTCTACAAGTTTTACAGGAGAACCCGTTCGAACTTACAGCGGTTACTGCACTTCGGAGATGCTTTGAATTAGATCCGGCACTATTCCTTCGTTCTAAAGGTTCTTACCAGACACCAACATTTGGTAGGGAGGGGGTGAATATAATATCTCCGCAGCTTAAACCAACAGAAATTTTATTTTTAACAGAAGAATGATCTAACTAACAAAACAGCCAATTTCATATTTCAAAATTTACGACAATCTGGGAAAGAAAAAAAAAAAAAAAAGTCACAACAAATGCGCAGCTTTACAAGTAATTTAAAAACTCATAAATTATGTTAGGGACGGCATAGAAATTAATTGCATTTGAATATTTAGAATAATCAGCGACTACAGCCTTTGAAAAACAGAGTTATTTGAGAGTGTATCGAAATTTCGTTTAATATAAACTTTCCGCATTGATTCATATACATTCTAAAATTTGTACATAATTTTTTTTTCATGTAGCTCTAAACATTTCTGTAGAACCAGAGTCGTAGCTAGGGTTTTCAGCGCCCAGGAACAACTGAAGATTTCGCGCCCCCTACTGCTTGCCAAGGATGGAAAACATTTAATTCTAAAATGTCGTAACATCAGTTTGGCGCCCTTTGGATTCTGCGCCCGGGGACAGATGCCCCCTTGCCCCCCCTCTAGCTACGTCCCTGTGTAGAATTCATCTCATAAATCCATTATTAGTTATTTTTAACGTTTCCGTTTGTTATATCTATAAACATAGTAAACCATATAACAAGGGGAAAAATTCCTTTAATACTGATATTAAAATATTTACACTTAATTTTTTTTGGGGGGGGGAAAGGCGAAACAATATCAGTTTTTACATGCTACCCCGAGCTTTATTTTCAGTTTTAATACGTTGGTTAAATCACGAGTGAGAATGCACGTTTTTAAAGAACATTTTTACGCGAGTAAGTAAGGAAGCAAAATGGAGTAAAGTTTTTCATTATAACATGCAGATTAAAAATTAAAAATTCAGATTTACTCTACATTTTTCTCTGAATATTTTTTTTTTCCTGAATTAAGATGAATAGAGGTAAAGATAAGTATGCATAAATGTCTAATCTATTCATAATTTATAATTAAATACTTCTAAACATAAAATGCTCACGCAAAACAGCAATTGATAAACAACCACAATTGCAATTTTACATCCCATAGCGAAAATTTTTCCTCCTTCTCAGATCTTTTATCATTAAGAAGCAATTTTAAGCATGGCAGAAACGATGCACTTCTTTGCATATAAATGCGATTGGAGACAGGAGAATAAACTATTGTGAGGGGCTAAGCGAATAATGCTGCTCAGACATCCAGGGCCTCTAACAAATCAGCAAAGGTTTCGCTTCAAGAGTTGGAGATCTTCCGAGGTGGATGTGGGAGAAAGTCTTTCCCGAGATGACGGGAAAGGAACGAAGTCCCTTGTATGAAACGACCCGCGTCCTGCGAGGTGAAGTCCACAGTTCAAGAGTGATACGGCCGAATGGCTAGCAGCGGTCAGAGGTCCTCTTGCTGATTTGCTTGGCCTTTCGCAGATCCGAGAAGGGAGCATAACTATGGGAACTACGAGGAGGGCGAACCCTTCCCATGCTCGGCCTGCGAACCAAGACGAATCCGACAAAATAATTGCAAACAGTAGGTCGTAGGGAAAGGTTGAAACCTAAGAAGATACCCAAGATTTCTTAACTGCTTCGCGATTCTCATGATTTTGTGTCGTCATGAGGCCCCCTCAAGCACTGATGACCCTGGGAAGCAGAGGCGGTGTCACCGAATTTCATTTGTAGAGTAATCATTTCAGTCATCTTATCGTAGTTCGATAATGATGCAGTGATCAAGAAAAGAAAAAAAAAACCTTTGTTCTCGAAGCGAATTCGTAATGTCTCCAAACGCTTTCGCTCACCACTACTTTTGTTTTCGAAAATCTTCTCGCGATATTTTGACTCTCCACTTCCTTAGATTTTAGAGAATAATTTAGCTCAGATTTCTTTTCATAGCGATACAATTCTTTTTATAAATTTCGGTTATATGCATGACAAAAATGACTAATCATATAACCATTAATTATGCTAAACCATAAGAATTACTCAAAGGATGCGCAGACAATGCTACTATTAAAATCATGATTTTCGTATGGTGTGAGACAAAACACCGTTTTCCCTACTTGTATCTATACTTTTAAACAATAACACACATAATTATCATGCATTGGATTCTTGAAATGATTATAGAATATATCCAATACAAATCAATGGAAAAATCTAAAAATATACTACTTTAACACAATTAGATACTTATGAAAACTAAAATAATCTGTTTTTAGGCTTTCGGATATGCACATGAACGGCGCTAATATCCCAAGTCCTTCCGTTTCAAGAATTCAAATTCTCATATAAACAATGATTTGTTGTGACTATATAAGATTATTTCCTTCTTATAATACTTGGCGGGGGAGGGGAAAACTGTGTACTTTCTGGAGAATTTTATATAATTATTTTAAATTCTGAAAGGAAAATATTAATTATATATACGTAATTAATATAATAATTATTCCTGTTTACATGAAATAAAAAAAAATCTTTTAAATTCTTAAACGCATTTCTCAAATACGTTTTTTTACTGATATGTAAATATGATATTTTATCCTTTGATATTTAAAAAAAATTGAAAGTTGCGAATATTTAAAACCCCCTCTCTGGACTGCTAGAAATCTCTTATCCACTACCTACCAAGAATGACCATAGATAAGCACAAGAACTGGGCAGTATCAAAATGTACATAATAGTTGTCACCCAGCACTGTAACATTCCGAAAGGTAGTGAAATAATGTTGCATCATTTTATTGCAGATGTATTGTATTATTTTGTAAAATGTTTGTACATATGACAATGGTTTGAGATAAATGTTGTGAACACATAGATTTCAAGCCCTTATCACATGGTGAAAAAAATTTAATCATTACCTGTTTGTACTGCTATTTACAAAAATAAAGAAAAAGAAATTTTTTTATTATTTCCTCAGAGTTAACAAGACTGAAGCATTTTCAAATTTTTTATTTTACATCAGATTTTCAGTACAGTTAAACAGTAGAAAAGTTATTACTATTTTTAAATATTTCCTCTGATAAGGGCTTAAATATCTTTTTGTAACCCTATGTGTGTTGACAAAATGTGTACTATGTGCCATATTCCTGTAGAGGATTTTGTAATATCTCAAGTTATGCTTAACATTTTTTTGTATATATATCACTGTATTTTTTTCTTATTTGCAAATTTAAGTTTTCATTATGCAAAGGTATTTAAAAATTATCAATGAATGCAAAGAAAATATATTCATATTTCTAAAAAGGTACTGGGAATTAAAAGAATTGCATTTAAATATAAAATTATAATTTCTGAAATCATTTGAACTGTCAATATAAATTAAATAATTGTAATGTTAAATGATTTTTTATATATATACAAATTAGACGAATGCCCATTCTGTTATAGCATTTGATGTTTTCTTTATTGCAAGACTTTTCTTAAATTATGCAATATTACAAATGTTTTGCATCAACTTGTACAGTGTAAAAATGTACAGTGTACAGATAATAAATATATCATTTAAGAAGAACTATTAAAATTTGTTCTACCTCAAAAAAGTGTCTTTTTTTGTAATATTTTACACACTATATAAGATTTGCAGAACTATTTCGGTACAATTACTTAACTGGATTTTCAGTACTACGTATGAGTAAGCTGACTATATTTCTGTAAGGTATAAACAAGACATTGGGATGTCAAAAATGGGAAATACAATTCTTTTAAAAAAAGGAGAGAAAATATATTAAAAAATATAGAAGCTACTATATTTCGCTACGATAGTGATAGATATATTTCTCTGAAAAAATTATGTTTCATCTTTCTTCATCTCATCACAAGCTTAATATACTCCATAAAAACGGTTTATATCAAAATTAACATAGCCTTCATTGTCTGAATACTTAACGCAGATTTCTTCTTTGGCTACTTACTGTTCATAACAGGAATATTCTTTCATCAAGTGCTGCTGTATTTCTTGGATTTATGAGAGAATGAATTCAAATATATGAATGCGTGTATATATGTATCTAACATCAATCAAGAATGGTAAACAATCTACCAGATGGGCATAGATTAAAACAATTTGAAACAAAAAAGAAATAAAAGTAAATGAATACAACAGTAAAAATAATCATTAAATAATAAATTCTTTGATCTTTGCCAAGAAACAACTGTAAGAATTATTAACAGAGCCACATTTCTGAATTATGTCTGGATGAATTGCAAAAGAAAATAATCCGATGAGGGAAAAAAAAAAAAAAAAAAACCGCTTTTTAATTTAAAATAAAAGTAATTTAATGAAAATACATTAAGGAAAAATTTAGTTTCTTTGATGGAAAATTTTAAAGAATTTAAAAAAGCAAATACGAAGATATAGCCCGCCCGAGTGACTCGAATGAAAATATCAAAATAAATAAACAAAATTAAAAAAAGAAGAAAGATAATTAATTAAAAAAAATAAGTAACTTGGAACATGAGAAAGACAGAATGTACTATAATTAAGAATGAGTCAAATGGAAAAGCTAAAATTGCTTACGCTTTGTAAATGTGGAAATCCGAAAAAGATACAAAAGTGAAAAAAAAAAAAAAAAAAAAAAGGAAGGGGTCCGAAAATTTAATTTCAATTTATATTTAAGAAAGATAATACCTAGTAAGCAAGCACAAAATATAATACCAAGTATCAGCAGAAAAGGAACACTGTTCTACGCAGCAAGTTTTCTCAGCCATGCCATCTCGTCCCCCTTTCAAAACGATGAGAGGTCCGAAAGATGTCCAAAAAAATAACGGCGCGGTCAGCCCAGTTGTTGTAAACTCCATGACTTATATTTATTAACGATATTCAACAGCCGTTGTGTTCCTTATTTGACAGAATTTTGCTTTTGCAGTTTGGCAACAGTAAGAAAAATTAGAATAAGGTTTTGATTTCTTCCTTAAGTGTGTAAGCAAATAAAGTTTGGCTTTCTTAAGCAAGAAAATGCAATTCTTTATTTAAAATATTTTTTAAGTGTTATAGAATGGAGTCAGATTTAATTTAAAGGGAACGACTGAATGAAATAATATTCAGGTAGATTCAACGCAACACCAGTCATAAGGGGAAAATACCATAAATTTCATTTCTGAATATGAAAAAGACAATCAAATAAAGCTGAACGTACTTGGAATAAGAACAGGTTGGCAAATTTCCAGGATGTGATTTAATAACAGCTGTTAATAATCAAAACGAAACATAACAAAATGAGGTAGAAAATGCACTTTTACCGAAGGCTAAACGGCAGATAAACAGGAAGTGCTTTTTTTTTTTCTGGCAGTTTCATATGAATCAGCAGCTTTTATACTGAGTCATCTAAGCTAATCACCAATATATTTAAAATAATGTTTCCCTATAATTTTAATTAGCATTGCTATTTTTAGGCCAAAGGGCGTTAGCCAGAAGGGCTATTAATATCGTTCTGGCATTTTGCGTTGATTCACTCTAAATATTGGTTCACGTTTCAAATCGTTGCTACCAAATATTAGAGCTCTGCATTATATTTAAAGAAATTAAATAATAAAGAATTTGCATAAATGCATGTATGTTTATCGCACTGTGATAAAACAACGGTACAACAGCCATCAACTTTTGAATAATGTAACTTTCCACCGAATATTGGTATCTGGAAGCCCTAATTTGGAATTTGTTTTATTATCGATTTCATATTTTGTAACACTTTAACGAGTTTTTGATTAACAAACTCAACGATTTCAAAGCAAGCAATGGCAATACTATACGGAAAAAAAAAAAAAAAAAAAAAAAAAAAAAAAAAAAAAAAAAAATTATCTCCAGCGCGAGACTGTGCATCGGAAATTCTAAAGATATGCTCATTTTAAAATTATTTTGCGATATTGCTGTTGAACTGAATTTTACACTTTAAGTGCGAAGAACATGATATTTAACAAATAAAGGTAACACACCCCTTTGGACGTAATTTAAAATCTGAAACCTTTCAGATTTTTTTCCCCTTTTTTTAAATCTTTTTTTTTTTTTTTTTTTTGGAAGAAAGGAAAAGTTCCAATAAACAGGCATTTTCTCGAAACCATTCGTCGGGAATGGCTGATCATATCGCTAATTTAACCTCTCACCACTGACCAGGTTCAAAAACGTTGACCAGGGTGCAACCGATGAGAAAGAAGAAAATAATTCAGTCAAGTTGTCAGAACTACTGGGAAACATCACAGAAATCCTGAGTGAGAACTGGGAGCTTACTCAAGCTATGTTCGCGTGTGCGTGGAATAGACAAACAAGTTAAGAAGGGTTAACTTTTACCCTTTATTTCTCCCAGAGTACAGGTGCTCACGCATTTCGGGATACAGAGACCAACACTTTTGTTTTAAATCTTAAAAAATAAGAAGTATTCACTTAATAACTAAATATAATAATAAAAATTAAACTTAAATTCTTTACAGAGACTATAAACGCAAAGATTGGCCTTTTGACACTGCGTATGTAGTGAGCTAGATGCAAATACTACAATACGCCTATTATATCAGCAGGAACTAAGTTCTGGCCTAAAGGCAGACATGAACTAACTGAAAAGTACGAGCGTAGCAGGACAGCAGGAAGGTTCTCTCTCTCGGCTAGAAGCCACTTTTTAAATACCTTTTATAGTTTGCAACTCATTAGCGTAAAAATCCTACTCGCTCTTGTTCTGGCCGGAATCAGAGAGAAGATTAAAGAAAAGTCCCCCCCCTTCCTTTTTAGGAGAATAATTTGTACACATCACAGGAAAGTTAAAAATTTTTATATCGTTGAGTCACATTTCCCTAGATACAGAGCAAAAGCAAGAAAAATTATAAAATTATTTATTTTGATATACAATCACACTATTTAAAAAATGCCAGAAATTTGTTAATTTACATGACATATCCCCCCCCCCCCACTGAGAGAATGTTTATAGTGTACTTTAAAATTGATAAAAGTACTTTTTTGCGAGTTTTGAATTTTCTGAATTCCAATACTCAACGCTCACTTGATTTTTTAAAATTACTTAAGGAATATCTTTAATTATTTGCCCGTTTGTCCAGAGTGTAAAATGCTTTAATTATTTATGGGTTATCTACAGACTGCAGATTTTTCTAAAAAGTTGCAGACTGTAGTGAATCTTTTTAATAACTTATGGTTTGCACATCAGATTGCAGGTTTTAATTTCCAGAATTCAGCATCAAGGAATATTGTATTCTCTCTCATTCTTATTATGTCTTTTAAACATCTACAAAAATTTGTACAGATTCCTTCAAATTTGCAAAAACTGCAGATTTTAACTAGAATGCATCACTAACGAATCACCTGCAGTAAACTCTTTGATTCTTAATGTCTTTTAAAATTCTATGAAATAACTTGTGGAATAAACTTGGTGCAAAAGTGACAGCTAAGTTTTAAATTCTAGAATTTCATCTCCCCATTCCATTTTCTCAGCTCTCCCCCCGTTCTACGGAATAAATGT